GGGTGTGTGAATAGGAATTTAGGTGCGGGCATTAGTGTAGGCGTTAATAGGAGTGTGCGCGTAGTGTGCGAATGTGACTGGCAGTGTAGGCGTCGGTCAGAGTGTGTGGGAGCCGATGTGAATCTGGGTCAGGGTGTTGGTATGGACGTTGGTGCGTAGATTTTGATCTGGATATACACGCCCGTGTAGATGTAAGTCATAGTGTAGGTGTAGGTGGCACTGCGAATGTATGTCAAAGTTTAGATTTGCGTGTCGTTGCCAATGTAGGTATCAGTGACAGTGCCGCAGTCTAGGACAGTATTGACAGCGTACATTTCCCAGTCTGGCTCAACGCGCAAACGGCAATCCATGCATAAACGCAGATGTAACCGTGCATATCACAATGCGGAACTTAGTGCCTAAATGTACTTTTCATTACCAATAAGAAAGGATTTCCGCACTGCGTGATGCTCTATAGGTTGCTCCGGACCCCGCTGTTCACTGAACGTTCTTCGAAAAAGCAATTCCTCATTATTCAAAAGCTTTCCCACCCACACCGGCGCCTCAGAAAGCGGTATCCGAACAACACTAAAAAATCCCTACCCTTTTTTTCTTCAGCTTCCACTCAACCAATCTCCAAATACACCATCACCCTGGTCGATTATCCCATTTTGCAGTATTTCCTTGAAACTTCGTCCTTGCACATCACACCACTAATAACACATCGTATATGCTAGGCCTACCAACATACATACAACCGACTTTCGAAACTCATCCCATGTTCATAAAGCGCTGCTGTGGATATCTAGTATTCGGCTTTCCATCGCTCCACGATCAACTGCAAAATAACTTCCATACGACCAACGGCATCAGAACAAAAAACATTCACCTCAGTCTCTCCGACTACAGAACATTCCACACTTGAACTGTATTGCAATCCCATGCTCTTCAATCAAACCGTCATACACCATCCGCTGCAAATCACCTTTAGAATTTAACAGTCCTCAACTTCCTCGAATAGTTAATTTCCCAAATGTTCTACCATAACTAGCTCCTCCATGACCTGCCATACACATCACTCTCCATTTCCTCCGCGCAATCCACTTCCTGGCCACTCCTAGCGGAAAAGGTTCTTTTCACCCAGCATCTTTCGATTACTTCCCTCTACTCACGGCAACACGAGATAGGTCAAAACACACAGACTCCCTGTTACTGCTTAAACTCACACAACTTCCTTCAGCTCCTCCCACATTCCGAAATTCCTTGAATCATCGTGAATGCAACGCGGATCACACACATCTTCCGCATTAGTCCTCTGTGCCTTGAAAATCTTCAATATACTACCCCTACCATACGCTGCTTCATTTCCTTCCAATTCTCAAATTTCCCTGACTTCCCATCAGTCCATGCTGATTCACCACTCATACCCCTTACAACTAGTACGCCTATCGAGCTCCTCCAATTGCTCTGAATACCTAGATTTTCTCGAATTTCCTAAATCTCCTTGAATTTCCATAATTCCACCGCGTATCATACATTATATCCCTTACCATTTATATATCCATTGAATTCGTTGAATTTCTCTGAGTTGCTTAATTTCCTTCAATTTCCTACATTTCCATGAATTTCCATAATTCCGTGGTGTATCGCACCATATCTCTCTCACTATATATATCTAGCTAGAATTCCTTCAATTCCCTTCAATTGCTCTCAGTTGCTTGATTTGTTTGAATCTCCCAAATTTCCTTCAATTTCCCTAATTCCATGGTGTATCACACCCTATATGCCTTACACTTGTATGTGTATTGAATTACTTGAGTTTCTCTGAGTTCCTCGATTTGCTTGAATTTCCCAAATTTCCTTGAATTTCCATAATTCCATGGTGTATCGCACCCTATATCTCCTACTATTTATATGGTCATTGAATTCTTTGAATTCCTTGAATTCCTCTGACATGCTTGATTTGCTAGAATTTCCTAAATTTCCTTGAATTTCCATAATTCCATGGTGTTTCACACCCTGTACGCCTTACACTTGTATGGGTATTGAATTCCATGAATTCCTCTGAGTTGCTTGATTTCCTTCATTTTCCTACATTTTCTTCAATTTCCATAATTCCATGGTGTATTACACCCTATATCTCTTACTATTTATATGTCTATTGAACTCTTTGAATTCCTTGAATTCCTCTGAGTTGCTTGATTTGCTTCAATTTCCTACATTTTCTTGAATTTCCATAATTCCATGGTGTATTACACCCTATATCTCTTACTATTTATATGTATATTGAATTCTTTGAATTCCTTGAATTCCTCTGAGTTGCTTGATTTGCTTCAATTTCCTACATTTTCTTGAATTTCCATAATTCCATGGTGTTTCACACCCTATATCTCTTACAATTTCTATGCCTATTGAATTCTTTGAATTCCTTGAATTCCTCTGAGTTGCTTGATTTGCTTCAATTTCCTAAATTTCCTTGAATTTCCATAATTCCATGGTGTATCACACCCTATATCTCTTACTATTTATATGTCTATTGAATTCCTTGAATTCCTTGAATTCCTCTGAGTTGCTTGATTTGCCTCAATTTCCTAAATTTCCTTGAATTTCCATAATTCCATGGTGTTTCACACCCTATATCGCTTACTATTTATATGTCTATTGAATTCTTTGAATTCCTTGAATTCCTCTGAGTTGCTTGATTTGCTTGAATTTCTTACATTTTCTTGAATTTCCATAATTCCATGGTGTTTCACACCCTATATGTCTTACTATTTATATGTCTATTGAATTCCTTGAATTCCTTGAATTCCTCTGAGTTGCTTGATTTGCCTCAATTTCCTAAATTTCCTTGAATTTCCATAATTCCATGGTGTATCACACCCTATATCGCTTACTATTTATATGTCTATTGAATTCTTTGAATTCCTTGAATTCCTCCGAGTTGCTGGATTTGCTTGAATCTCCTACATTTTCTTGAATTTCCATAATTCCGTGCTGTTTCACACCCTATATGTCTGACTATTTATATGTCTATTGAATTCTTTGAATTCCTTGAATTCCTCTGAGTTGCTTGATTTGCTTCAATTTCCTAAATTTCCTTGAATTCCGATAATTATATGTTTCCTTATAATTGTTAGTGGTCTCAGGGTGTTTGTCGTTAGAATTTCTTGAATTGCTTAGAATTGCTAACTTGTGAGATCCTAGGGTTATCTCGATCGTTGTTCGCTTTCATCTTTGCTAGACCACACAGCGAGCCACGTATTTGCATAGTCATACAAAGCTTCATTACCGAACATTAAAATAATCATAAGTAAAAAGCCAAACCAACGTAATGGTGGTGAAGTAAATAGTTTTAACCAAACATTCCAATTGATGGAACCTTCAATTGATGTCTCACTTTTTACAATCGAGTTAATATCTGTTATACTAGTGTTCAGTACAAAATCTGTTTCCTTGTCATTAGATGAATCTGTTTCCTTGTCAATAAATGAATCTGTTTCCGATGTTTCATTTGATGGGTCAATTGCAGGTTGTTGTTCAATATGTAATTCATCTATATGACCGTTGGTCATAAGAAACATTTGATCAGATTCAACTAAAAAATGTGTCTGATGCGTCACCAATATTCGAGTCTTTCCATGAAGGAAACTTTGTGGGCCGATAGATTGATCAAAAATGCTTTTTGCTACCTTGGGATCAACAGCAGCAAGCGGATCATCAAGTAAATATAAGTCAGCATCAGCGTAAAGTGCACGAGCAAGCGATATTCGAGCCTTTTGTCCTCCACTCAAATTAACACCTTTGTCACCAATCATCAATAAATCACCGACCTCACCAAAATTTTGTATATCAATATCAAGACAACATGCCTTTATTACGTTCTTATAACGTTCTTCATCCATTGGTTTGCCAAGAAGAATATTGCCTCGAATAGTATCAGCAAATATCCATGCCGATTGTGGAGCATAAGAAATCGAATTAGTTTGCAGTTGTAGCTTTCCACTGACAAGATTGATTTCACCGAGAATAGCAGCTAGTAAAGTTGACTTGCCAGAACCAATGGCACCTTTTACTCCAACCAAATTACCCTTCTTGATTTTGAGACTGAGTGAAACTAAAGATGGACTATCTTTCCAAGAAAATGATGCATCTTCCATTATGATTGCATGATCTTCATTTTCGTTTTTCACTTTCTCACGTTTGTTCAACAACATATCGAGTTGCATAAATTGATCGATTCGTCTTGCGGATATGCGAGCTTCACTGAATTTTTCAATGAAGTATGGCATCGTGATTGTTAATGGAAGTCGGACCGTAGTGAAGAATGCTAATGTTGAGAAAATATTCTCTGGCAATAAAGTGTGTCCCATGAGCCAACTACCTCCGAATGTAGCAAGACAAACCAAAGGTATTGTTACGAAGGATATAGCAACGTTAAGAGCTCTCAAACTGCTCGCTTTACGAATGTTTGAAAGCTCAAGTCGACGTGTTTCACGTACTCGTCGCTCCATAGCTTTTTCCCAATTGTACATTTTAATAATTTGACATCCGTTAACAAGTTCATTGACTGTTTGCACACGCTTATCCGTACATGCCATTGTAGCTTTTCTGTATTTACTAAATTGTCTACTGAAAATGAACTGTATTGGTATTACTGAAATCAGCACTGCATAACCGAATAAAGTCGGTAGGCCGATGTTCCACCACAAGAGACCAAATATTACAAAAACTTCCAGAGGTACCATCACTAAAGCATGAACAAAAATGCTTAATTCTGCAAATTTATTGGCATCATTTGATACTAAATTAATCGTCTGAGCAGCAGTAGTCTTGTGAAGAGCTGCAGTATTAATAGTTAACAAGTGCTGATAAATAATAGTTGATAATGCATTGCGAACTCGCATTCCTGCGCGTGTATTTCGGAAGATAATCTGTTGTTGACAGGTTGCTTGTAGAACTACAGCAATACAAAGACCAATAGCATATAGATAACCAGAATAAGCAGGTAATCCTGATTGATCTTTAATGTAAAGAGTCAGTTCACGAATAAACAATGGCTGTGATATACGAGCTATTGTGAATGGAAAAACGAGCCATATACTCGTTAGAAAGTCTTTATAAAATACGCCCCTGAACACATGCCATGTACCTGGCCATTTAGAATTATACTGATTTACTCTATTCAATACGACTGAACATTTATCGTGGATAGAAAGATCATTAAGATCTTTTTCAATAAGATTACGTTTATTAGCCAATGAGAGAATGGGTGCCACCCACAAAAATAATGGTATATATATCCATCTTGTCCAATATGATTCAGCCCAATCCAGTCGACATGGTGCTCGTTGTTGACCTAGAAAATATACAATGAATTTCAAGGAAATCTACCCAATGAATTACGATCGATTTCCGCTGATCATACTTACTTTCAGTCAATGGAGATACTTTGGACGCAGAAAAAAAATTGGATCCACCATTTGTTTGCTTCTTTGACATTTGTTGCTTTTATTCACATAATCGCTCGATGGTAGTCAGTTATAAAGAGTATGCGCAAAACACAGTTTATGATTTCTACTTTTATTGTATCCGAAATTTATTGCAGGCAATTATTACTCTCTTTGTCCTTTTATCTCATTTTAAATTAACCTTGGTTGATTAAATTTGAGAGTAAGGGTGAGAGCTGAGAAAAACTATTGCTATCGCGATTTCATCCCTGATAAGGGAATAATTATATGAGTTCTTTCGAAAAAAGTTGTACGTAGCAATGAAAAAAGTCATCATTATCATTATCAAGCATGAACCAAAATCAAAACACTTGGTATTTGAGATATTAGATGTACTGTTTCACAATTAAACTGTATACTTAATCCTAGTACTACCAGTCAGGGTAATTTTTGATCCGTACACAAAAATTTGAAAATACACTAGAAATATTTTGTTATTTCCTGGTTTTTGGAAGCAACACCCTCACCCTCACTCTACTGACCTGATCCACCAACTAAGACGAAAGGTTGCGGACTATATTATCGAAAAAATAATCTATAGTGCGCAATAAATATCTTTCTTCCATAGCTAAAGCTGAGAAATTTTTGAATATTCTATCAAACAAAAAACATTAATTGAAATTCTTTCAATATGGTTATAGTAGAATTGTATTGAATGCATGTATGGGTTTCCTATAAGACGAAATATAAGAATGATTTAGATGTGTTTTCATATTCTTATTACAGAAACAGAATTTAAGATGAATTCTGATGCAAAAGCAAGCTTCTTGATAGATTTCTGATATTTTGATTTAATTACGAGAATAAGTACATGTAATGAACGGCAATGCTGCTAGTAAATCAGAATTCCGACACAATTCTGTTAGAATAAACAGAATTCATAATAGAATTATTATTGTTTTACTACTGTATTATAAGAATTATATTCAGTTAGACAGGATGTATATATAGAGAATAATAAATGTGTTTAGTACACAGAACTCTTAAATTATGCTTGGGTGTGGGTGTGGATCTTTGCCTCATCCACACCCACACTCACCACAGCCACAGTCACACACCCACCCACCCACAGCCACACATCCACACCACACCCACACACCCATACCCACACCCACATCCTCTATTTTCAAAGTCATTTATGTATTGTATGAGACAATCGAAAACAAAAATCTATAAGATGTTTTTATTCTGGTGTCAGAAACCTACTGTTCGATTTAGATAGTTTGAAGATGAAGCACGTATTCATGCAATAAAATGTAAATATTTAAAAAGAAAAACAGTAATGTCTGCCTGCATTAGAAAAATGTTGTCTGTATGTATTGACAACAAAGTATGTAGAGTGGGAAAAGTTTTAATTTAATCTTATCACTCTCGAAAGGTACGACAAGAAAAAAGATATTGTAATAATTATTCTCGATCAATAGAATTAGTTGAAAAGACCTCCCTTTTTCTTGAACATTCTACTTGTGTGTTCTAGTAAAAAACAAGTTCTTACATCAAGATTGCATTCGGCAATATAGTGTTGAACCATGTAAAGGTCGTATTTCATGTGTGCCACGAGAATTTCGTGTTCTAATTTTGTCAGGTGAATCTGATGCACTATTGACTAATACACCCTTGGCAGGAAGTAATTTAATCAACAAATTTTGAATGTGTTATGTGAACAGCATCTGATTTCTCTGGCAGCAAACAGTCTGTGTTGGGTTGATTCTCTTCCAAATCAAGGTCAATGTCAGATGAGTCGCTGCTATCATCATGATGTGCATCAAATTTTGGTTCGTCTGATTTGACTTGCTCATCATCAGTTGTAATCACAATCGAAACTGCACAATCAGGTGACATAAGTCTTGGCGAATCAGTATCAGACGAATCGGTCATATTCATAGCGTATTGATAGATTAAATTGAAACTTTGTTGTTGTTTTTTTTTTGATAGAAAAAGTCAAAGTCAAGTCGAAAAAAAAAAGACCCTCTGTATACGTTCCGACAAACGAAAGTTGCATTTTATCGCCGAATATACAATTGATAAGTTTGGAATGTCAACTAATACATCTGTAATAAGTCAACATATAATCGTATCGTTACTAACATATTTTAATAAGTCCATAAGATTGGGGACATTGTTATATATTATTTCTTGCGCTGTATTTCATGAAAAGAATAAGATAACGAAAATGATATATCAATAAAATGATACTTCCTCTAAAATGCGTTTCGAATATACAGGTGTAGCCATTTCTCTAATGACACAAGTAGTCGTTTTGCTATTTTTTTACGCGTACATGAATCATTTCTTCCTTAGAATCGTGATAAAAATTAGGTTTATAGTTTTTATATGTGCTGTGCACAGGTCGGTTGAAAAGTCAATGGCTGTCGCATGTACATTGTACTCGACTATTGATGATAATCAGCTCGTTTTTCGTATGACTTGATAGTATTTGTTAAGAGCTTCAAAATAATATTAAAAACATGAGAAAACAACATTGATCAATCAGACAAGTCCCAAGAACACTCAATCGCCGTTCTCAATTGAATGAACTTACGTGTATTTCAGATATCTTTTTCTTTTTCATTGAAAAATGCACTTCTGCTCCTCTCCACTTCTCACAGGGTTATGTTACAAACTGACTTTCATAAAAGCTCTGTTTTTATTGCTTATTCATTAGGTACCTAGGAAGAAGTGAAACGCTGAAAATGCCGTTTAAACTGTCATAATAATCACCTGTTCTGTTAGGAAACGGTGATAAACGGCAAGAAAAATCGTGATCATCACTTTTCTTGCCATTTTTACGTCTAGTCAGCGTTTCCAAGCATTATTCACATTAAATAAACTCTGAAACGGTTATATAAGTCATTTTCTTCTTCGTAAAAGATAGTGAGAAATGTTTACGATCATCTTTTCCAACGAAAACAGCTGTAAATGCTTAAAGTAGATTAATTTTTTTTTGAGACTGGTTCCCATAATTATTTATATTCTCGTGAATTTGTATTTTTTATTGTTTCACAGTACGCGTGAAAGATATTTAGCCCGTTTGGAGCTTCCATTTATCTTTTGATCTGCTGAATTACTTCAAAAAAGTATTTGCTGCAGATTTAATTATGTGAAAAAGAGTTCCTTTGATTAAAGTAAGAATCCGCATAACATTGACATCACATGAATCAAAATTATGTGTCGGTACGAACATTAAAATATCGAAAAAATACAGGTTGATTTTATTAATTTAAAGTCTCAATTTTCATATTGAAATCCTAATTTTTTGATTATGTTCAAAGCTCGAAACGTTCGATAAATTATAAGTTCCTAATATTCTCAAACATAAAATTGCTGCATTAGAGTTTTCATCACAAATTATCAACTCATCAGTATATGAGCTAATTGAAACTCGTTTTATGACAAGCAATACAACATTATTAATTATGAGCTACATAATCCAATTAAAAGCTCTAGCCAAGTTAAAAGAGAGTAATATTTTCAGTTAATATATATTCGACAAATGCATGTGGCATAAACAGAACGGATCTCATATGCTTAGTAATTGATTGTTAGTCTTAATTAAATTGGAGAGATAGAAAAGCAAAGGGAAAAAAGAAAAATTTAAGTCAAGAAGTAAAAGAAAAAAGTCAGAGAAGAGGAAGAAAAAAAGAATAAAGTTAGAGAAGGCCAAAAGAGAAAATAAATTCGTCCAGCATATTCATTCATTCATTCGATGAAGATTGCTCAATAAGTAAACATCGCTTCTGCGAGCGATGTGAATGCATACAAAGATAAGATACATGAATGATATCTGAATTTAATCTAAAATACTATTCAGATTACGAAGAAATTCACATATTTACTTTATACGAATTGTGAATAAGGATTCTCATTGACCGTTGGTCGAGCTTAGAAAACATGAGCAAAAAGATTCAGATAACTCTAATAGAAGAAGTCTTCAGAATTGAACGATGTAGAGGATTTAGTTTCACCTTACGGTCTGCGTTTATTTTTGCTTTTTCTTAGGATAGTATTTGTGAGAAACTTTCTTGTACATTCCATCGAGATAGTTGACAAAATACGATATTCGTAGAAAAAATATATAATATAGAACGTATTTGTCATTTGGTAGCACCACATTCCATAATAAAATCGTTAGTGACATTAAGATATTTAACATTTTTTTTCAACTGATTTATTAAGATCAAACAGTGTGACGTTTCGTTCTAACTAAGAATATTATCAAACACAAATAAATAGACAGAAGACGAAAATATATAAGAGTAAAATAATGTCATCGTTTTTTATTCTATTGTTGTAAACATTTCAATGCGCGGGGGAGTAAAATTGATCCGTCTGCATTAGAATGTTTAAAACAATAGAATAGAAAAACGAAGACATTATTTTACTCTTATATATATTCTTCTTCTGTCTATTTATTTGTGTTTGATAATGTTCTTAGTTAGAACGAAAAGTCACACTGATTGATCTTATAAATCAGTTGAAAAAAAAATGTGAAATAGCTTAGTTTCATTAATGATTTCATTTTAGAGCTTGTAATTTTATTGAGTTCGTCGTCGATTGCACTCTTACGCGAAGAAACTTTAATTTTTTATCTCTTATACCATAAAAAGAATATAATGCTGAGTATATATTCCGTTTTTAGTATAAATCTTAAACGAACAACTAGATGATAAATATGCATAAGTCATAAAGATTACAGTAATCAAATAAAAAACTTAGCTGCTCTATTAACTTTTGTAGCAATAAATTACTTTTTATCTACGACAGACGACTGTTAAAGAATGAGAAAAAAATAGTTTCAACAATGAATAAATTTTAGAAGTACGTCAATAGTGTTGCTGTTCAATATTTTCTTTTGATAAAATATACTAAAAAATTGACATCGTTTTATCTATGGTATTTTTCCCCTAGAATTTTTCGTTTGTCGTATCAATTCATTGATTCTTCTTAAAAATCTAGGTTTCACTATTACATACATATCTGATACTAATAAAC